TTTGGAGTAAAAAAAAAAAAGGTAACAATTACATTTTTGTTTTATAAAAAAAGGTGAACCTTTGCTTTACTTTTGAAACTAATCACATCAAAAGGACCTCTACATGCCTTATGGACATATCAAGCTGAAGGACTAATCTTCACCCTAATCTTGACAAGGCTCTTCTTCCTTCCTCCATCAACAAAATCTCTCTTTACCCCAGTAGAAGGTCAAGCAGTCAATGCCTCCAGGTGTGTTCAAACTGACCATCTCTCATTTATGAGTGGCATTTTGGCTGACAGATCCTGTTGATTTATCCTTCACAACATAAGATAAATAGCTCTTCATTCACAACTACAATATAGCAATCCAGGCCAGATGTTTCATGTCTAGACTAAAGTAACCCCTTCTTTACTAAACTACCATCATCTAACAGTAAAAAGAGACATTTTATCAAAGGAACTGCATAGGAAGCAATGCAGGTGAGAGTCAGTGTTTAGTTACTCAATTGGTCTTATCTATTAATAGTGGCATAAATATTCAGAATTTAAATCTTCTATAATCTATGTTTATCTATAGACCTCCTTATAATAAATCTTGCTAATATCACAAAATAAGTCTAAACAGTTTGGATTTCAATCATTTGTGAGAAGCACATTTGTTTACAATCAAACTTTTACTTTGGCATGAAACTGTTGTTGTTGCCACAAGCCACAACGATCATTAGTCAGTCTTATGGTGAGTTTGTAAGATATTTTTCAAATGTATTATTATAAAACTGTCAACTTTTTCTGTGGTGATTTGCATTAGATGGTCTTTAAGAACAGGCGAAATCAACTTGCATGACATACAGTTTTATAAAAAAATTTGGGCACCCCTCTGTAGCTGCATATTTATGTGCTTTTTTTTCATAAGAGAAGATTACAGTCAAATGTCATTGGGCTTCTAGAGAAAGCTAGATAATGTCATGTTTTTCAGACAGAAATACGCCATATTGCAGTATTGAAATTGAATTGAAACTGAAAAATAGACTATGCAAAAGTTTGGAAACCTTCCCCTCCAGTCAGAAATAAAGTAAAAAAAAATAAAGGCCACAGGAACAGTTCTTTTGAAGAAAAGATGTGCTAGACCAAGAAAAATATCTGAAAGGCTAAGGCAAAGAATGGTTAGAATGGTCACAGACCACCTCCAAAGAGCTCCAGGAATATCTTGCTGCTAATAATGTCACTGTAAATCATTTCAGAGTTAAACACATTCTTCACAAAGAACAGCTCAATGGAAGGTAATGCAGAAGAAGCCTTTTCTGAGAAAGAAGTCATTTGAGGTATGCAAAGGCTCATCTAGACAAGCCTGAATCATTTTGGAAAAATATACTGTGGACAGATGCCACAACCATAGGAGTTTTTTTTTTTTTTTTTTTTTGCATGGCAGAAATAAAACACAGCATTCTAGAAGAACATGCTCTCTACTGTAAAATATGGTGGATGGTCCATCATACAACCAGTATCAGCAGATTCTGAAGAACAATGTTCAGGAATCAGTCAAGAGGCTGAAGTTACGGCAGGGTTGGATGTTTCAGCAAGACAATGACCCAAAGCACAGTTCCAGATTTTCCAAGAAATTCCTGCTCAGACATGATACAATGTTCTAAAATAGCCATCCTGGTCCCCAGACTTGAACATCATCGAAAACCTATGGATTGATTTGAAATGGGTAATTCATGCTTGGCACTCATCAAACCTGACTGAACTGGAGAAATTGTGCAAGGAAGAATGGCCCAAAATTGTATTCCATGTGTTGATTAAATAAATGTTATGTCAAAACTGAAATGTTGCTTTTTCCATAGGGGATAAAATATATCCAAATGGAATTTGCTGATTTGAAAGTCCAGCAGGTTATGGCTGGCATTTATAAAAATTATCATGGGTGCCCAAACTTTTGCATAAGACTGTAGATTCCCATTCTCTAAATGTAAAAATCAGTATCTAATAAATATTTCTGGATACTCAAAAGTAATAGAGAAAAAAATATATCTGGCTGATATTATATGTGCATCTACTGTATCTAATGGACACTTTAGTATCCACTGAGGTCACAATTTACTGCTTGTGAATAGGTGTAAAGTGACAAAGCCAGTAAGTCAGATGACAGTAACCCCAAAAACATGGGGAAAGTAGTATGTCTGATTTTGATTCATACTACCCATATTTATACAATTTACAACATATTTTTACTGGTCACAGAGTAGTTATTATAATGTGAAACAAAAAATCAATAATAATAAATAAGCAAGAGAGCATGCTGTTTCCTGTTTCCAGAAAAGGTCAGAAGACGCCATCATTCAAAGAAGGAGGGCACCAAACCTGGAACACTTTGTTATACAGTATGGTTCAATATCTACTGCACAACTTTCAACACTCTCAAGTTGTTGGCAGACAATTTAGACGTAATGTTTATGCTATTCAAACCAAAATCTATCAGCTACATGATTAAGTAGTTAGTTTATGCTGTTTACTATTTAGCAGTAACAAATAACAGCTTTGTGTGAAACGTTCGCGTTACTAACATAGCAGCTTCAATACAGCAATGGATTGTGTTTAACTTACCAGTCTTAGAGAGGACAGAAGCAGGTGTTGAAATCTGAAATAAAATTTTTTTTTACCAGTTCACCACTTAGTATCAAGTTAAACCTTTATTTAAAACCCAAAATTCAATCAACTGACGGTGTTTATGAAAAACGTTATGAGGAAAAATCCTTTATTCGGTTGAAGCTGCCGTCTCCATGCCTTTTCCCGGCTGGATACAGAATGACCAATAGTATCACCAATAGGACGTGAGAGAAACTTTCATTGGTTGAAACAACGAAAGGGATACGCCCTACACTAAACGAATCAGTTGAGTGAACTATTCCGTGACTCACCCAAACAAAGTAATTGCTCACTCATCCTGCATTACAAAATCACTCAACAAAGCCGAAAAATACTAAATAAAAATAGATTTTGTTTGTAAAACTAATAAATAGTCCCTCCCCATTATTCAAAACATTTAGGTGTATTGATTTCCGTTTCGTATTTTACTACTAATCAAATTACCATGGTTATACTATGGTTAAAATTTAACAGAATACAGCTAACTTTCCATGTAATCTTCTTATTCCCTTTTTTGCTTTCAATGTTTTTTTATTTAAAAAAAACACTATGTAGACACTAGGGCTACAATGTTGACTGAATACCTTCATTTAGAATAAAAATGTTAATTTATAATCCAAAAGTAAAAAAAAAAAACTATTTGTATTTTAGTTGTACACAACAGATTTCATGGAAATAGATTTTCTTAACTCTTCCATAATCTAAAAATCAACGATTTTTTTTATTAAGAAAATGTTCAGGAGAATTAAATGTATTGTGTATCTCATTATTGTTCATTCACTTAATAGTTTAGTATCCCTCATAAAACAAACATTTTAATATTAGATCAAAAACATCCGTATGCAAAACATTTTTTTATTTGTCAAACCATAATATAATATTACAAAATCAACAATAGAAACATTAAATAGCACATGAAATTCAGCAACATTTTACATTAAACTGCAGTGTCATCAAAAATTCCAGAAAAAAAGAGAGATATCAACTTCAATATTAATCAGCAACGGACTGTGTCTTAATGTGACAATCCTGAAGTGTGTAGAGGAGTAACGCAGGTGCACACAGATGACAGCTAGCTTGAACCCTACAGCATGAAGAAGCCACAGCTGCCCTACAAGAAACACAGTTGTCTTCTCACAAATCAACTAAAAAGTTACAAAATAAAAGAATGAAAAGAGCAAGTGTTTTGTGCATCCAAGTGAAAATGGAAGACAAGAAATTCTCTGTATCTGGTGGTGTGTGTTGGTGAGAGAGAGTGATATAAGGCAGCTGCAGGGTCAAAGAACCTCTCTGTGTCGTAAACCATGAGCAGACACATACTGATGACCTCACAGTTTGTCACTCCAGCAACAAGGTCACCAAGAACAATCATACTTGCACACAAACACAGAAACCTAAAGCCAACACAAAATACAAATTCAAGGAAAAAAATGTACAAAAATAGCACTCACACCTGACAAACACACACACGCATCAGTGCAAAAAACGCAACAGTGCCGATGTGAATCACAGCTTACACTTTCACATCATTTCCCAAAATCTCGCGGACGTCCTATGAAATAAAAGTCTGGATGGTGAAGTTCAAGTTTAACGGCAACTGCAAGACCAAGTTCTTCAGTAAACAATGCTCGAATATCCAGTACGCTTTTAGTCCAATCAGCTACAGACAACATTTTATTAAGTGTTTTGTTTTTAGCTTTAGCATTTGGCTAACAAACACAAAATGTACAACCAACCAAACACTGCTTCTTCTGTATTCCTGTGGCGCAGAACACATGTCCAGAGAAGAATACAATTCAGTGCTTTAGCATTTCATAAATGTGAAAACAAACTTTATCACGGGACATGCCAATATTGGTCATTGTTCAGTGTTTGGAGGAAACTGAGGAGGCTTATTGTCGTACTCTGGTGGAGGTGTGAGAGGTTCAATAGTGAACACGTTGCTCTGTTGTATATCACTTAAGCTTTTTCTTCTTAGGTTGTCGGATTTAATGCGCCTTATTTTGAGAGGAATCAGTTTGCGACCAGGACGGCTGTTTCTGCGGGGTCCTGCTCCAGTGCTGGGATCGATTTGGGATGAAGATCTGCGAGCTTGACTGGAGGTATCTCCTAAGTTGTTTTGGCCTTCTTCAAGCTCTTCGTAGGCTGGCAGCTGAGTGATGCTGTTGTGGCGCTCAGAGGTCTGACTGATGGGATACTGACCACTTGTAACCACCTCCTCGTAAGTGGGGACTGTGTAGCTATGAGCTAGTTGATCCATCCTAGATATATAAACACATGCATGTTTACAATTATACTTAGAGTATTACGCTTAATATACACCATTATTCAAGCATTTGAGGTCAGATATATAAAAAGCAACAAAGACATTTTTATAAAAAAAAAAAATCAAGGGAAAATTACTAGCAAACTAGCAATACTATTTTCCAAGACTGACGACATTACGGAATGTGTCTTGAGCATCAGATCAGCATATACGCTTGTTAGGTTTTTTTTTTTCAACAACACAGGGGAGCCATATTGTAAAAACAACAGTTCTAGCACTTCTGGAACTGCTTCTGCCTTGGTGACCTTCAGGATGTTGAACCTCACGGTCTTGCTAAGAGTTTGCCATTCTCCAACCGTAACGATGTCACCTACAGTCACATCCCTGAAGCATGGGGAGAGGTGGACAGACATGTTCTTATGTCTCTTCTCAAAACGGTTGTACTTGCGGATGTAATGCAAGTTGTCCCGTCTGATGACGATGGTCCTTTGCATCTTCATCTTGGTCACCATACCGGAGAGAATCCAGCCTCTGATGGACACGTTTCCAGTGAAGGGGCATTTCTTATCAATATAAGTGCCATCAATAGCTTCTCTGGGGTTATTGAAGCCCAATCCGACGTTTCTGTGATAACGAGGGAGCTTTTCTTTGCCACTTCCTTCAACTGCCAGAACCCGTTTTTTGTTCTGGAAGATGGTGGGCTGTTTCTGATAATCCTCACGTTCTGAGTAACCGCCATCTTTGCCAGCCGAGTCGTAAAGAGCTATCCGCTTGTTAAGTATGACATTAAACAAAGTTGCTTCTGGGTCCAAGCGCTATATCAAGCTATATGGGGAGACTCAACAAATGGTAATAATAAACATTTACAAAGCGACGTAATACACAATTGAAAATCACAATTGTAATATATATATATATATATATATATATATATATTGGTGTCTGTGATGTTGTAAGGCCGATCTGTTGTTTACACCATGATTTCACATAAGATTCACTTTGATCTGTGATATGACTAAAAAGTGGTCATGAATAAATATTTTCTCAATTCAGTAGCGGCTTGGACCCGAAAACAGTATTTTAAACATCAGGACTTAACAAGCGGATTAAATGATTTCTGAAGGTCCATACTGGTATTGGAAATACTCACTAGACACTACAAAAATTCCGGCATCGGTGAGTATTTGAAATTATAAACCGATCTAATACTATGTTTTTAAATGAGACACATGCTCGCTAACATTGCTTAACACTGCAAACCCAGAGTCAGTTCTTCGCTGTTCAAAATGCAAACAAAGGAAGCTGTGCTTTGTTGCCACAACAACCACTGTTGTTAGAACAGCGAAGAAGAAGAGGGTGATGCACTATTTCATTTTTGTATTTCTTTATTTTATGTACAAATTTTTATACAATTATACTGTAAAACTTGAATGGATTTTTTTTTAGTTTAGTGTTTTATTCTTGGCTGAAATTGCTTCAGTAAAGTACAGTAAATAATACTACTGTAAAATGATCATTCCTCAATTCTCTTTTCGGCTTAGTCCCTTTATTAATCTGGGGTTGCCACAGTGGAATGAACCACCAACTTATCCATCATGTTTTACGCAGCGGATGCCCATCACTGGGAAAATTCTATACACACTCATACACTACGGTCAATTTTAGCATACCCAATTCACCTATAGCGCATGTCTTTGGACTTTTGGGGGAAACAAGAGCACCCGGAGGGAACCCACGTGAACACGTGCAGAGAACATGCAAACTCCACACAGAAATGTCAACTGACCCAGCCGAGGCTCGAACCAGCATCCTTCTTGCTGTGAGGCAATGGCACTACCCACTGTGCCACCATGTCGCCCTACTGAAGAATGTCTGATAACAAAATATCACATAATAAAAACACTCTAGTTAACTGTATGTGTTTTATTAATGGATAAGTCTGAAGCAGACCATAAATTAATTCTGGGTTATAAATTTATACAGGGTTAGTAGTATACATAACTGTTTCTACAGATACACTTCAGTACTCGGTATCGGGAAAGGAAAAAGGGTATCAGAACATCCATACTTCTTAAAAAAAATATCTTGCCAAACCCATATTTTAAACATAAGTAATAATAATGTTCAAGTGAAAAAAGGGAATAAAAATTGACACTTAACATTTAAAATTAATGACTCCTAAAGTCAGGCAGCATGGTGGCTCAGTGGTTAGCACTGTCGCCTCATAGCAAGAAGGTCTCTGGTTTAAGTCCTGGCTGGGTCAGTTGGAATTTCTGTGTGGAGTTTGCATGTTCTCCTAGTGTTCGTGTGGGTTTCCTCTGGGTGGGCCTCTCTCCCAGAGACATGCACTATAGTTGAATTGAATTAATTAAATTGGCCTTTGTGTATGTGTGCGAATGTGAGAGTGTATGGGTGTTTCCCACTACTGGGTTGCAGCTGGAAAGACACCCGCTGTGTAAAATATGTGCTGGATATGTTGATGGATATGCACATTCCGCTGTGGCGACCCCTGATCAATAGGGAGACTAAGCTGAAGGAAATTGAATGACTAAAGTCACACACACGCAAAATCTATGTTTTTAACATATACAGTTGAAGTCAGAATTATGAGCCCCCCGGTTATTTTTCCCCCCAATTTTTTGTTTAATGGAGAGAAGATATTTTTCCAACACATTTCTAAACATAATAGTTTTAATAACTCATCTCTAATAACTAATTTATTTTATCTTTGCCAGGATGATAATACATAATATTTAACTAGATATTTATCAAGACACTTCCATACAGTTTAAAGTGACATTTAAAGGCTTAACTAGGTTAATTAGGCTAACTGGGCTGGTTAGGGTAATTAGGCAAGTTATTGTATAAAGATGGTTTGTTCTGTAGACTATAAAAAAATTGCTTAAAGGGGCTAATAGTTTTTACCTTAAAATGGCTTTAAAAAAATAAAAACTGCTTTTATTCTAGCCGAAAAAAAAACAAATAAGACTTTCCCCAGATGAAAAAATATTATCAGACATACTGTGAAAATTTCCTTGCTCTGTTCAACATCATTTTAAAAGAATTATAGAACAGGGGGTGCTAATAAATAATTCTGACTACAACTATATATATATATATATATATATATATATATATATATATATATATATATATATATATATATATATATATATATATATATATACACACACACACACACACACACACACACACACACACACACACACACACACACACACACACACACACACACACACACACACACACACACACACACACACACACACACACACACACACACACACACACACACACACACACACACAAATACATACATACATACATACATACATACATACATACATACATACATACAGTTAAAGTCAGAATTATTAGCCCGCCTATGATTTTTTTTTTTATTATTTTTTATTATTTTCCCGAATTATGTTTAACAGAGCAGCAGAAAATTTTTACAGTATGTCTGATAATATTTTTTCTTCTGGAAAAAAGTCTTATTTGTTTTATTTTACCTAGGATAAAAACAGCTTTTCATTTTTACACACCATTTTAAAGACAAAATTATTAGCCCCTTTGGGCTATTTTTTTTCGATAGTCTACAAAACAAAATATTGTCATACAATAATTTGCCTAATTACCCTAACCTGTCAAGTTGACCTAATTAACCTAGATAAGCCTTTAAATGTCACTTTAAGCTGTATAGAAGTGTCTTGAAAAATATCTAGTCGAATATTATTTACCTGTGATATATTTATATTATTTATCATGGCAACAATAAACATGTATACACGTGTATACATGTATACACAATTGTTTGGAAGTTACCACAAGTTATTTTACATTCTGAGCCAACCATGACAAATAATATATTTTAAGAGACTCGCTGACACAGCCATGAGAGTCTGCAGGTGTCACTCTATGATATCATTTCCTGCCATTTTCTCCTGCATGTTTGTTGGACCTTATAACACCGTTTGGAAGACAATTGTTCTCCAAATATAAATAGGTAGAAGTGTTGTTAAAGCCAAAACGTTTTGTTCAGTTTTGTAAGGAACAAAGACACAATCATTTAAAGACATAATTACCATACTGATAAACATATGGATTTAAAAAAAACTATATTTTCATTATTCCGATTGGGAAATCTTTAATATAATATAATATAATATAATATAATATAATATAATATAATATAATATAATATAATATAATATAATATAATATAATATAATATTAAATTTAATTAAAATATAATGTAATGTAATGTAATAAAATATGATAAAATATATTACAATAAAATATAATATGATTAAATATAAAACAATATAATATTCAAATCTAAAAAAATGCATTCAAATCACTAAATGTATAAATAGCATTTTAGAAAACAACAACAACAACAACAAAAAGATTCACATCATTGTCCCTTACAACATGACAAAGTGTACAAATGTGTATCTAACAGTGGTTGTGTATTTAACAGTATGTACTCACGTCGCCCCCTCCTCCTGTGTGTTGGAGGGTGTACTGCCGGCTTCCTGTCCCCTGGCCGCCCGCTGTTTGTTCCGTACACTTAAACACACAGACAGCAACAGCAGCGCCACTCCTCCCCCCACCAGGACGAAAGCCACGGACGAGGTCTCCCGAACTTGTCCAGAGTTCATGCCCGGCTTCGAGCTGTTCCCTCCAGAAGCTGCCGGCACCACGCTCCACACAATCATAACGATCCCTAGTGCGATGAGCCCTACTCCTAAAGCAGCGGTCGCATACTGAGCCCCAGAGTTGCTGCCGTTGGGCCTCCTGGGGTTGGGTGGGGTCTGGTCGCTGTAGGACATGTTTCCAAACCTTACCATGGACTCCAATCTCCACCAGACACTGATTTTATTTTGTCCTATGGCTGCTGTAATGTCTAAAACTTTGGCTTATTTCATTGTTCGTTTCTGCTTTTCCTGGAGCACTGACCCATTCTGTGAACAGAAAATCAGGCGGTTAATCAAAAAAGTGATGGATGAATGAGACAGACTATCATAAAAGAGAGTTTTATATCAATAAACGTCAACATGCCCCATAAAGCCTGTGTTAAAATAGCATAGCGCAATAGCGGCCTAAGCTTCAGCAGTGATAAGGTTTTATCAAACATTATTTATTGTCTACACATATCGGTGAACATGTTAGACTGGCCTAACTTCCCTCCCGAGATTAAGCAGGAGTCCCTCCAGCTCAGCTTCAGTTACAGGTGCGTGAAACTGGAAGAAAGAAAGAGTTTGATTCAGGAGTGAAGTGAGAGAGTTCACTGCTTTCTTAAACACAGACTTTGGTGAAATTTCATCTCCGCTCAGGAAGGTTTACATTGAAGGGAAATGGCAGGCGGCTGAAAAACCCCCAAAACAAAACTAAAATATCTGTAAGGACAGTGTGCGTTTTGTTTAACCGTCACATAGACACTAAGGAAAGCACATCATAACTCTGCACTGTCATGCCTACGCAGCTCCTGGTTATCTGTGCAGGCAGGTCTGGAATAAGCCTTTTTACCACACCCTTTATCATTTCTCAGCACGGAAGCAACATCATGCGTTCAGATCGGTGTAAATCTTGTACTTAAAGATAAGATGGTTGATGATGAGATGCATTTCCTTCAGCGGTGATTCATCAGTTTTGATGTGTGTTTGGAAAAGTGTGGGCAGTTGCTCATAAGCTCTGTCTCATTAAGGTCTGCACCGACAGGTATAATTT